CGGATTACAATGATTCGCTAATTTCAGTAATAGCCCTACTCAATGGAGTCAGGAATTTTTTTAGGAGGTGTGAATTAAACCAAAAGTTGGAATTATACCTTCATTAATCAAAGTATATGGTATAATGTCATCCCTAACCCATGTAATAGAATACCATTATAGGGGCTTATGGGCATGTTGGGGGAACTCGAAAAAAAGTTTCTCCTTTTATGTGAGTATGCAAGTTTCTTTCTTTGTTCCATATCCTATATCATGACAAATTAAGAGCTTGTTTGGTTCTACAACTCAAATTGTAGAGATTTAAATCTTTTTGTTAGAATTATAAATTTAAACTGTGGTGATTTTAATTGTGATTAAAACCGGTAATTTAGATATGTAAATAAATTATAATTTGAATTGAGAATAAAATTTGAAATGTGTTTGAATAAAGTGTTAAAAACTGTCATTAGAATTTTGTAACAAATATTATAAAATCTCATTGTAAATGACATTAAAAAAATATACAATATAGGTGGGGGTTTGTTCCTCTCTTCATTATGAACACATTAAAAAAAAATCGTCTCAATCAAAATTAAAACGAAGAAGTTATGACATTCTTAAAATTAAAATTAAAAAGAGAAAAAAAATAGAATCTAGAACTGTTGAACTGTTGACAATAATTCGGATTGTTAGAATTTAAAGGGGTGGTGAATTCTAAAAATCACAAACACTAATTTAAATCCTGAATTAAGATTTGAATCCTAACAAATAATTTGAGTTGTTGAAACAAACAGGTCACAAGTCAATTCCCCACACCCAACTTAACCCTCTAATCCCACTTCCTATATACTTTCTTTGGAGATCATGACCTTTTTCATTCCGTGATCTCTTATTTTCAAGCATTTGATAGATTTGTTCTAATAGCTCCTATTATATTACTCTATACAGATTCCACTCATTCACTTACATTGTATTATTCAAATCGCCTTTTCGGCTCAAGAATACTATTATGAACCTGTTTGTTTTAACAAGTCAAACTGTTGTTTAAGATTTAAACTTTAGTTTAGGATTTAAATTGGTATTTGGGAGAGGAAAATTCAAGGACAATTTAAACCATTAATAATGGTTCAAGAACAACTCAAATTGTTGATTTTAGAATTCACCTCCCCCCTAAATTCTAACAATCTGAACTGTTGTCAACAGTTTAATAGTTCCAATCTTAAAAATGTTATAACTTTTTCATTTTAATTCCGATTGAGATGAGTTTTTTTTAATGTGTTCATAATAAAGAGAGGAAGAAATCTCACCCATATTACATATTTTTTAATGTCATTTATAATGGAGTTTTATAAAATTTGTTACAAAACTCTAATGATAGTTTTCAACACTTTATTCAAACATAGTTCGGATTTTATTCTCAATTCAAATTACAAATTATTTACATATCCAAACAACAATTTGGATCACAGTTTAAATTCTACAGTTCTAACTAAAAAGGTTAAAATCTATACAATTTGAGCTGTTGAACTAAACAAGTCCTGTATTTCTTAAATGGGAAAAATGCGCTCCAACGTATCTCCCACAATAACACTACTTATCTTAAGAGCTAAAAAATTTTCAGCCACACCAACTAAAAAAAGAAAATATAAGGAGTGACAATTTGCCCTTTTAGGTGCAAAAATTTGTCTCATTAGAGATGTTTTTCTTTTAGTCAAACTTGGAAGGTATATGTAGTCCAAAGATTCAGAAGTCTGCTAGTGTATTATTTCTAAAGTACTACTGGTAAATACTATTAGTGCAATTCGTCATCCTATCACTTAGAGCCAGTTTAATATATCACTCAATCATGAAAACACATGATGTGGAATTGTACCAAACAACTAATAAAATGACATTTCAGACCTCAAGAAAATTTGTGTATAAATTGTGTTCACTTAGCACTTAATGCTGACACACTTAATAAACCTAAACATTTGTAATCACTGTGCATGTTATCTTATGGATTACAAACCTTCCAAATTTTTCTTCCTTGCCTTGTTTTCCCTCTTATTCCTAAGCCCTACTCTTGTGTCTCCTTAACTTGACTACAATTACTATGATGCAACGTGCCCCAACCTTGCAAGAATTGTTTGTTATGGCGTTCGGACGGCGATCGCAAACGATACTAGAATGGCGGCCTCTCTTTTAAGGCTTCACTTTCATGATTGCTTTGTCAATGTCTTTCAACTTATATATCTTGGACTATATCTCTTATTATTGCCTGCATATAATCGTACTTTTAGTTGGAAAAAAATTGCCACAACTACTTCGCAATAGCCAAAAAAAGAACTAGAAATTAAACAACGTTCACGCACACGAGGAAGTTGTAAATAGTAGTATGACTTTTTGCTGGCTATACCCTTGAGTGATATTTAGGATGCGTTTAGAATTAGTTTCAGAATGTTTTTGAAAACGTTTTTGCAAGTCTTTTAAGACACGAAAATGAAAACAGTTTGCAAATTATGTTTGTTTAGTAAATATTTTGAAAACGAAACAAAAACAAAAAAACAATAAGAATTATTTTGTGAATGAATTAAAAAACGGTTGAAAGTCATTTTCCCTTTTATGTTTTTATTTTCTTGTACTCTTAACATTGTTATAATATATTAATTAATAATTATAACTAAATACAATTTCATTTTTTTATTGTACTCAAAATAATATCTTAAAAAACCAACCAAACGAAATTTTACAATCGGTTACAGAATGATTCTCAAAACAATCTCATTTTTACTTTTATATTGAAAACGAAATCATTTTGAAAATGTTACCAAATGGGCCCTTAGTTTCTTATAATTACAGAAACTTCATGACTATTAGTCAATTAAGTTCTTCACTTTCTTGGCATGCAGGATGTGACGGGTCTTTGCTACTCGACGATACCGACACATTTAAGGGGGAGAAAAACTCATTGGCAAATAAGAATTCAGTCCGAGGCTTCGAGACTATTGACAACATCAAGTCCTATGTGGAGAAAGCTTGTCCATCCACTGTCTCTTGTACGGACATTGTCACCCTGGCAGCTAGAGAAGCTGTATTTCTTGTAAGTAAACTTCTCTATATATTATGTTAAATTGTGGAAAATCACCACAGCTATTAGAGGTTTGTATGTATATTGTAGAATGTGTATATATCAAACCTTTACCAGATATGCGTTGTTGTGGTTGTTCTCAGTCTGGAGGCCCATATTGGGCTGTACCACTCGGCCGCAGAGATGGCACGACGGCTAGCGATCCAAATGGAGCTCTTGCGCAGTTGCCATCACCCATTGAGCCTTTTGAAAATATCACTTCCAAATTCACTTCAAAAGGACTTCAGGTTTGCTTCCTATAATCATGTCTATACTAATTCCATGACTATTGCTAAGTTGCGACTTTAGGCTATTTTTTGGTAGGAGGGGAAAAAAATTAGAAGCAAACAAAGTACATAATATTGGGTTAGGTGGTGAAAATAGAGAAGAGGCGGATGACTTTTCTCTTATTGTGTTTGGAATAGATTCGCTCTACTTATCTATGCCTATTTGGAGAGATATACAATTATGGTTTTTTGAAAGATTTGAAATCTCTCACCCAATTCATTCTCTTATCTTTTTTCTCTTACCGAACAACTATGAATGTTAAAGTCCTTCCAATATTCCTCTCATCCTTTTCTCTTTTACTTTCCCTCCTATCAAATAAGCTCTGAATGTCCCATTTTATATGTAAAAAAAAAAAAAGAAAAAATTATTACTTGCATTCACATTCATCTATCCATGTGTACTTGGAATATAGGTGCTCACACTATTGGATTTGCTCAATGCTTCAAGTTCAAGAATAGGCTCTTCAACTTTGATGGTTCAGGCAATCCTGACCCATCACTGGATTCATGATCACTTCGAACAAACTTGCAAGGTGTGTGCCCGAACCGGCACGATTCGGACACGACTTTGGTTCTGTTGGATCCCGCCTCTTCCACGAGATTCGACAACAACTTCTACAGAAACCTTTTGAACAACACCGGACTCCTCCAGTCTGACCAAGGTCTTATGGAGGACAATACAACTGCAGCATTGGTCATGAACTATAACAAGTATCCCTATTGGTTTGCCAGGAACTTCGGAGCTTCCATGGTCAAGATGGGAAATTTGGGTGTGCTCGCAGGACAAAATGGGGAAATCAGGAAGAATTGTAGAGCAGTAAATTGAACAAAATTACATGTCATGGATCAAAAAGAAAAAGAAAAAAATGAACCTAGAAAGTAGAAAGCTTTATAATTAAGGATTTAAGTAACTCCTAGCGTGCGTATATGTAGCTTTCCGAAAAGGAGGGGAAGAACTCCTTCTATCTTGTGAGAACTATTAATATATATATATATATATATGTGAAACATTTAGAGATCTTATTTATTCTCGTTTATATATATATGTCATCCAATATTTACTCATCAATAGATATTATTATTTTAGCCGTAAGATATTAATCTGACAGTTACAATAAACTATATAATTGACCAAAAAAATTTATGACACTTACTGAAACTAAATTCTTATCATGTTATGTCATCAAATTTTTATATTTAGTAGTAACCACACTAATGAAAACGTAATTATTGAAAACTCGTTCATATATATATGTGAAACATTTAGAGATCTTATTTATTCTCTAATTTGTGGTGAAATTATCACAAGAATAATCAAGCTACTAACGGTTAATATCACAGAGAAATAATATAATTAATATTAATTGTGGTTCAAGAATTTCTTCCTCAAATTCATTCCCTTTACAAATATTCAATTAGTTGGATTTTTGCTAAAAAAACAAACAATTATCCAATATCCGCAACCAAAATTGCCAACAATGAGAAAAAGACGTAAGAAAAAGATGTAAGTTATACAGTAAAACTTAATTAGTGGAAGAAAACCAGAAGTACTCGAGCAGCTATTTGGTACCTAGCTAGTAGAGGTGGAAAAAACACAATAATTTTTTTAACTTGAAATTGAAAAAACACAATTTTTTTCATACAGATTGATGATACGGGGGACACTTTCTAATTACTAAAGTCAACCACCCAGAATTATTTAGGAAATTACAACAACCTAAAAAATTAGGCCCACTTATTGTTAGTCTATCTGTTCTAGACTTCTAGTTGTGGAATAAAACATATAAAATAGATCACAAAGCAATCAATGAAGGCTTTTATTTGTTTGAACGCCTGTGTTTCCTTTCCTCAGAGAGAAGTTTAGCGAATTCTGTAAGAGCTTCTGCATTGGTACCTTCTCCTTCAGCTGTCTCATACTTGCCGGTTTCCAAATTCACCCTTGAGACTGGCTTCTCCAACATCTCTTTCCCGATCTCCACAAGCCTCTTCAGATTCTCCTCAGTTGACACGTCAACTGAGGACTCGTTTCCGGTCAACGTGTCGTACTAATCACGGCAAACCAAATAATTATCAGAAAAATAATAACTAGTTTGCAAGTAAACTTCACATACGTAGGGATTACAACGCTTAGAAAAAATATATAAATGATATAATTACTTGAATGCGGAGGTAGTTTTCCTTTGAATTTTGGGCTTGAAAGATAGCGGAGAGATGAAAATCAACAATATCAGAATTGGAGTCGAAGAAAATATCGATCAATGGCGTGCTCCCGTTGTCGAAAATCCAATTGATCAAACCCCATTTGGAGGCCTTAGATGCACTGTATTTCATTTCTTGCTTGGCTGCACCTGTGCCCAATGACAGGACTAACATCCTATTGCTGTCCATAGACTTCATGTCCTTGAACTCCGAGTTCTTCCTTGCTATCTCTTTGGAAATGTGGCTTATTGCCAACATTGTCTGATTAGAAATTGATTCAATTTTTTAGATAGAAATACTATGATCTAAATGAAAACTCTTGATACAACATAATTACGATTAAGGGTTAAATTATACTTCAAATCTCATTTTGATTTTTAACTTTTAAACCGATATCTCAGAACGAGTTATCAATCCATGAAATTGTCCTAAATTAATCCTTTTGTCCACAGGACTCTCAAAAACTTGATGGGTGAAAAGGCATTGTTTTCTTCTTAATAGTTCTGTCCTAACAACTAAAATTACAAAATCAACATCTATTAAACCACACATGGTCAATATGCATTTTTCAGTCGATTTGGAACAACTTAAGCCTCATTCGTCCCACCATTCGAATCACAACTCAAATTTTTTGCTATAATATTTTTCCTCACAAAAGTTCAAATTCAATGTTTTCTACTACAATATTTTCTCACATAAATTTACTTTCAACTTAAGTTCTCAACTCAAGCCCGTGAAATGAACGAGCCCTTAGTAGTTTGGGGATTTATTCTGAGACTTTTTGAAAGTTAGGACTAAAATGAAATGTGACTATATATAGTTTAGAGACTAAAATGGGAATTAACCCTAAGATTGGCAAAATTTAAACAATACTTACTGGATTGTTGGCGGCAACCCCTCCATCGATGAGCTCAAAATTGCGACTGTTTCCCTTATCACTAGTTGTAAAGGAGTGTGCAGGAAGAAAAGTGGGAGCTGCTGATGTACCGATACAAATATCAGAAATTCGAGCATTGCTTAGAGCATTTTCTTTTGCCTGCACAAAAATTAATTACTAAAACTGTCAGATCACATTCGTAAGTCGTAACTAATATTTTTGATGACATTAATTATACTAATATGTATTATTATACACACGTATACGCACGTTTAACATCTAGCTAGCTAGTTGAAAACTAAAATCGTAATTAAGGGTGACCAATATTAGTACTTTATTATAAATGGAAATTACTCAAAAATCATATATACGTACGTCGTTGGTGCTAAAAATGATAGGTTGAAGTAGCTTGATGTCAAAAGTTGGTATGAGCACGTCAGTTAAGGTCTGCTTCAGAGTAAGGTTGCTTAGCAGGTCGTTTAGCAGCGACTTCAGGTACTTCCCGTCGTACTTCGGCCCCGTGAAGGTGCTAATCAAGTTTCCGATGAAATTATTACGGCTGAATTTCACAGAAACATCCCAGAAAATTTCTTAGTAAACTCAATTAGTATTCTTCTAAATATGGCCTACATAAGAATTGAGGAGTAATTACACCTTAGTTTCAGTTTTTTTTTTTAAATTAATTTATATCTTTTTCAAAACTACAATAGTATTCTTTAAATTTGAATAATATGTTTCAAATTTACCCTCATCGATGTTTTAGACAAAACTACCCTTAAATAGTACTTTTTGAAAAATAAGTTTAAACTTTTAAAAATATCGAAAATCTAAACCGAAACACAAATATATTTTGGAAGAAAAGAGAACTGCTACCCATCATGTTTTCGGGAAATAAATATAATTATTCTTAAAATAATTTATAGAAACTTTTAAGGGTATTTCTGTGTTTTTACCGGGAGAACAAAATTGAAACATGATTTTCAAATTCAAATGATAGCTTTGCAGTTTATAAAACAAAGGGATAAATTGAGGGGAAAAAAAAAGAAATGAAACTAAATGATTAACCCTAAGAAAACAATTACTTTTGTTGTGGGAAGATCTTAGGCGCATGTTCCAAGTAAAAGTCAGTGATGTCCTTGGCAGCGTACAAAGGCCGGTTGTCCTTGTCTGGAGCTGTAAGCATGGCGGTGACTAATCCACCGGTGCTCGTTCCGGTGATTATGTCGAAGTAATCCGCTATTCTTACATCTGGTCCATCTAGTTCCTAACAAAATAACCATATGATATTAAAAACTTTTTCCGAGACACATACAAATCATGAAATTAAAATTCAACTTCACACAAAAGTAAAAGGTGATACTAAAATGGAATACTTCTTTTTATTTTTGTTAAACGAATAAAATTTTGACTCCTCATAATTCAAGAAATATCAATAGGGATATTATTTTCATATTTATGTTATTATAAAAGTATTGGTTGTACTAGTTGTACCATTACAATAATAGTACTTATATATTAGCAATTAGTACCTGAAGCTTGGATTCGAGAAAGGCCAAATGGGTGCCTGGAATAATGCCCCTAATGCCACCTCCATCGATGCTCAACACTGTGAACACCTTTCTCTTTGCAAAACTACCACTCGACATTTTGATTCAAAAGAGTAGCTAGTCAAGAAAAACTGAAGAAAGTTTTCTTAGAGAATTTATAGCAACGCACAATAGTATATACTTGTATCAATATTGTTATGTGGACAAATATATGCACAGGTAACTAATGATGAAGCGGGTTGCTAGATATAGAAGCTACGATATTTATAATGCCGGAAACTCCGAAGGAAATACTCGCCAACCGCATATCTCCATCCCAAGTCAGGTACACCTTAGTTGATTTTGTCAACTTTGTCAATGTTGATTGGGTCGTGGGTATCTCATAGATTCGGCTTTTGTGTCTTCTTTTTCATGTTATTTTTCGAGTCTCCCACTAATATGAGTTGCATAATTATATGATTTAACTCCTGCAATCTTAGGACTCGTATCAACTATTTATTTTTAGTGATTAAATTAGGGTCTAATCAACCAAATCATATTATGTCATTTAAAAGTTTGAAAGGTTTGTTAACTAATTTTTTCATGCATACTTTAATATTTGAGTCATTAAATGACATGACAAAATACGATTGATTAGGTACATCGAGACTCAGAAAATTGAATAGGTGATCTGAATCTGCAGTCTTTTATGTATTTGCTTCTTTCTATGTATTTTCCTGTCAAGTTGGTACTTAATTTCCTTATGTATTTGCTTCTTTCTATTTAATTTCTCGTCAAGTAATTGGTGCTTAATTCCTATCTCATAAGTCATATATATGCGTGTGAAGACGTGTTGATAATGTGAAAAAAAAGACAAAAAATTCCAACAACGTTCTTAGAAACTGTTCAGGCCATGCAAGTTGGGCTGCTAATTTGGCATGTATATGTGGTTGCCAAGTTGACGAAAAATTTTTATTTTGATCTTTCTAACTATATTGTTCATACATAAAGGCTGACAATTATTCAGTTGTCCTGTTATAAGGCGATATAACGCAGAAGATATACGCAAACTTGTGGTGTTGTTTTCCTTATCTTGTTCCCAATTTTAGTCGACTTATAAATTACTTACAAAATCAGTGGAAGAATAATTAGAAACTGAAAGTGACTATGTATGTGTGTGTGTGTGTCTATATATATATATATATATATATATATATATTATGTGCAGCCTAGCTATATATACATACACCTATTTTTTTCCTTCTTTTTTCTTTTTTGAAATGACTACGTCTTTATCTATTTCCCTGTGTCTTTCCATATACAGGAGATTTTTATTAATATTAATATTTTTAATTTTATTTGAAGAGACATATAGTGGAGATTTATATTCGTTTATGGGCTTGAAAATGGAAGAAGTTCCCTTAAAACTAAAAGCACTGAATTTAACCGCTTGTCTTGATCCTGCCCTAATATCCAACTTTTGATCAATTAAATGTTGAGCCATCAACATAAAAAATTTCAATTTTTAGTAACTAACTGCTTAGTAATGACATATTACTACTTCTAGTAACAAAGTTGAGTTACCATATCTCATTAGGCATTTTTTTCTTTATTTCTTTTCATCATTTATTAATATTACTTTGTCAAAGGGGTTTACAATAATGAGTGGAAATTAACTCTAAATTTTCCAGTAAAAATATTAGAGTACTGAAATTAATTGAGAGGACGATAAAATTAAATTACTAAACCGGTAAAAAGTTTACATATTGAAGGAATTTGAATTTATTGGCTTTATCTTCTCTTAGATCTTGAAGGATCACGAAAAGATATAGCTTAAACTTAGAAGAAATAAAACTAAAATGAAGGACAAGTAATTTAATTTTCATTTAGTCGTTCTGAGCTTCCTCTCCTGCGAGAGAAGTTTGGCAAATTGGGTGAGAGCTTGTGCGTTGGTCCCTTCTCCTTCAATTGTCTCACACCTGCCGGTTTCCAAATTTACCCTTGAAACTGGCTTTTCTAGCAGCTTCGTCCCAATCTCTAATAGCCTTTGCAGATTCTCCGTAGTTGCTATATCAACCGATGACTCATTGCCAGTCAAAGTGTCATCCCAAATAGTCATGTTATGATCATAGAATAAGTCTCTTATATAAATACATAAGTTATACCTTAAATTTTCTTATATATTAATTGGTTGTGAAAGAAAACAAAAATAAATATTGATTCATGGTTTTTTTTTTTTTTTGGACTTTTTATATCTCTATACCCTACACTTTAAGGTTATTAATTAAAAAGTATATACTCTTGACTTTCGATTGTTGCAGAAGTATACAATTCGATCCACTGCATTTAATTGGCAAATACATGGCCTTCTCTTAGTCAAGTCTCTTCTCCCAGGGTCTCCTGGGGGTGTCCTGGGGTGTCCTAGGGGTGTCCCGAGGGGGCCCCGGGGGTGTCCTGGGGGTGTCCCGGGGGCGCCCCGGCGGTGTCCCTCGGGTACCCCGAGGGTGTTCCGTTGGTGCCCCGGGGATGTCCCGGGAGTGCCACGGGGGTCTCCCAGGGGTGCCCCGGGGGGGTCCCGGGGGAATCCTGGGGGTGTCCAGAGGGTGTCCCGGCGGTGTCCCGGGGGTGCCCCTGGGGTGTCCCGGGCCTGCACCGGGGCAGTCCGGGGGTGTCCCGGGGGTGCTCCCGGGGTCTACAGGGGTGGCCTGGGGGTCTCGCGGGGGTTTCCCGGGGGTCTCCCAGGGGTGCCCCGGGCGTGCCCCGGGGTGTCCCGGGGGTGCACCGGGGGTCGCCCGGGGGTACACCGGGGGTGCCACTGGGGTGTTCTGGGGTATCGCGGGGGTGTCGTGGGAGTGCCCAGGGGGTGCCCCGGGGATGCACAAGGGGTGCCCCGCGGGTGTCCCGGGGTTGCCCCGGGGGTGCCCCGGGGGTGCACCGGGGGATCCCCAGGGGTATCGCGGAGGTTCCCCGGTGGTCTCCCGGGGGTGTCCCAGGGTTTTCCCGGGGGTGTCCCGGGGATCTCCCGAGGGCCGCCCGGGGGTGTCCCGGGAGTGCCGCGGGGGTGTCATGGGGGTGTCCCGGGGTGCCTTGTTGGTGCAACGGGGGTACCCCGGGGGTGTCCCGGGGGTGTCTCGGGGTGCTCCGGGGGTGCCCCGGGAGTGTCCCGGGGATCTCCCGAGAGTGCCCCGAGGGTGTCCCGGGAGTGCCCCGGGGGTGCCACGGGGTGTCCCGGGGGTGTCCCGTGTGGGTTTTGGGGGCGCCCCGCGGGTGTCCCGGGCGTGCCCTGGGGGTGCCCTGGGTGAGCCCCGGGGCTTTCCCGGGGGTGCCCCTGGGGTGTCCCGGCGGTGCCCCAGGGGCCTCCCGAGGTCTCCCGGGGGTATCCTGGGGGTCTCTCGAGGGTGTCTCGGGGATGTCGCGGGGGTCTCCCGGGGGTGTTCCGGGGGTATACCGGGGGTTCGCCGGGGCTGTCCCGGGGGTCTCGCGGGGATGTATCGGGGGTGTCCCAGGGGTTTTGGGGGAATGCCCCGGGGTGTCACGGGGGTGTCCTGGGGGTGCACCGGGGGTGCCCCAGGGCTGTCCCGGGGGCGCCCCAGAGGTGTCCCGGGGGTGCCCCGGGGGCTTCCCTGGGGTGTTCTGGCGGTGTTCCGGGGGGTTCCCTAGGAGTGCCCTAGGGATGCCCCGGGGGTGCCACGGGCGAGCCCCGGGGATACCCCGGGGGTGTCCCGGGGGTTGGCCCAGGGCTTCCCTGGGGGTGCCGCTGGGGTGTCCCGGTGGTTCCCCGGGGGTCTTCCGGGGTCTCCCGGGGGTCTCATTAGGTTCTCCCGGGGGTTTCCCTGGGATATCCCGGGGGTGCCCCGGGGGTGTTCGGGGGGAGTACCGGGGGTATTCTTGAGGGTGTCTGGGGAATGCCCCGTGGTGTCACGGGGGTACCCCGGGTGTGTCCCGGGGAAACGTGTGTGTATTTTTCTAGGCGTGCCTGTAAAATATGGCAGCAAAAAATGATAAAAAAGTAAAATTGTGTTATAATGCCCCTGGCCCGCGTAGCAAGGTGCCCGGGGCCGAGATTGGTCAAAAAATTATATTTTTATTTATGTTTTACATTCTAAATTTAATATATGATTTTTAGGATTTAATGCAAAAAGTAGCACCATTTTTTGATGAGTATTCTATTTTTTATGATTTTCTTTATTTTTTGTCTTTGAAAAATAAAATAAAATAAAAACGACGTCAAAAAATTATGAAATTTTGCAGACACGATCCCTTCTACTAGGCATGGCTGAAGAAAATGGCCTAAAAAATGACAGAGAGAATTAAAACGCTGTCAAAACACCCCTGGCCCGCGTAGTCGGGCGCCCTGGGGCTGTGATGGGTAAAAATTTATATTTGTATTTATGTTTTGTATTTTAATATTAATATACGATTTTTAGGAATTAATACAACAAGCAACACCATTTTTTGATGAATGTTATATTTTTTTTATCATTTTCTTTATTTTACATATTTGAAAAATAAAATAAAATAAAAATGACGTCAAAAAATTATGAAATTTTTCAGACATAATCCTTACAATTTTTAGGAATTAAGGCAATAAGCAGCACCATTTTTTTATGAATATTCTATTTTTTATGATTTTTTTTATTTTTCATCTTTAAAAAATAAAATAAAATAAAAATGACGTCAAAAAACTTATGCAATTTTACGGACAAGATCCTTACCTTCCACTGGGCATGGCTAAAAAAAATAGCCTCAAAAAAGGACAAAACAATGTAAAACGCTGTTAAAATACCTCCCGCACGCGTAGTCGAGCACCCAGGGGCCGTGATGGGTCAAAAATTTATATTTGATTTTATGTTTTGTATTCTAATATTAATATACAATTTTTAGGAATTAATGCAACAAGCAGCACCATTTTTTCATGAATGTTCTATTTTTTATGATTTTCTTTATTTTTCGTCTTTGAAAAATAAAATAAAATAAAAACGAAGTCAAGAAATTATGAAATTTTACAGACATGATCCTTACATTTGTCTGAGCAGCCCTTCAAAAAATGGCGTCAAACAATGATATTCCTGCGTAAAATGGCCTAAAAAATGACAAAAAAAAAAGTAAAACGCTGTTAAAAAGCCCCTGGCCCGCGCAGTGGGGCACCCAGGGGCCGGAATAGGTCAAAAATTTACATTTTTATGTAT